CCTATTCTTGTGGAAAGAACCACCTTTTTTTTTTTAGTGACCTAGGTCTGCAAGTTGAGTACTATTCTTGGCTCCTCTTTCTCTTTTATTTATATGTCCAATCAGTTTCTAAATCTTGTTATTTCTTCTTCCACAATATCTCTTGTATCTGTCCCCTTCTTTCTAATCGTATGGTCACAACTCTGGTTCAGGTTATAACTGTTCTGCTAGACAGATACCAAAAGCTTTCTACTTGGTCTCCCTGCGTCAAGTCTGTCCCTTTTCAAATCCATCCTCCACACAGATGTCAACATGATTTTCCTAATATGCAGATCTGACCCCTTCTTTCCCCTACTCAATAAGTTTCAGTGTCTCCCTATTCCCTCTAGGACCAAGTTCCTTGGTTTTAGCTCTTTAAATCCTTCACACGATGTTTGCTGATCCTTATATACTGCACTTCATGTCCCATCTCTGCACATCTGCACTAGCTGTTTCCCCATGCCTAGATTTTATTCTGACTTCTCTGCCTCTTACAGTACCGTAATTTCTTCAAAACACCACTAAACATTTTTAATGAAACCTTTCCTAATTCCCATGCTATTGCCCTCCCTACAAAAAAAAATTCCTTTTTATTTATTTCATATAATCCCAATTATGCAAATCCAATAATAATCCAATAATACAAAGTCCCCCAATAGACTTCTTGAGGATAGGGACTATTTCATCTCTGTCTTTGTAGCTCCAACACCAAATGATGTGCCCAATACTTAGTAAGTTAAGTAGTAAGTATTAATAAAGATCCTAGGGGACAGTTAGGTGGTGCAATGGATAGAACACCATCCCTGGAGTCAGGAGGACCTGAGTTCAAGTCTGGTCTCAGACACTTGACACTTACTAGCTGTGTGACCCTGGGTAAGTCATTTAACCCTATTGCCTAGCCAAAAAAAAAAAGATCTTAGCCATAGCAGGAGCTCAATAAATGCTTTTTGACTTGACATGTTGACTGATTAAGTTATGCGTGGGGAAGGTGGTTCCTACTGTAGTAGTTCTTCACACTGTTTACAATGTCTAGGCTTCCCTCCCCTCCTTTGAAAAATTATAATCATTCATACATATGAACAGTAACAAAAGAGAGTACTTATTACTTGCATAGCTTTGGATAGAGCATTTCAAGTTTCTGGGCCTTATTTTACTCAACTGTAAAACAAGAGGGTTGGACCTGGTAAACTCAGGGTTCTCTCCAGTTCTAAATTTATGTTCTGAAGTACAAATTTTTAAAAATTCTACAAAAATAAAAAAAGTTTATCAATGAATATGTATTTAACCATATGTTATTTATAATTTTAAAGGAAACAACAAAAGTTAAGTTAATAAACTTAAAGTTAATTAACTTTAATGAGTACTGCCAATGTTTCCCTCTTTATTTTCCTTTGTTGATAGAATCTAGGCTGGCATATTTGAAGACAAAAGTAGAGAGAGTTTCACTTAGACTTTTTGCAAGCATCTGACAAAGTCTTTCCCACTACTCTTGTGTAAAAAATGGAAAGATATAGCCTGTAGGTGGATTCAAAATTGGTTGAATGGCCAGATTCCAGGAGTGATTCTGTGTCAACTTGAGCGGATGTTTTCAGTGGAGTGCTCCAGGGAATCTGTGGTTGGCCACAGACTGTTTAACAGTTTTATCAGTGACTTCAATAAAAACCTAGATGGATGGCATGCTTTATCATATTTGCAGATGACATAAAGCTAGAAGGGATAGGTAAGTCACAGAGTAAACATTTGAAGAGATCTTAATAGCCCAGAATCCAAGCCAAAAATAAATAATACAAATAAGGTAAATGTAAAGGCCTACATTTACATTTCAAAAAATCAACTTGACAAGAATAAGATGGGGAGAAATGGCTAGATGATAGTTCATTCCCCCAAAAAAGATTTGAGGGTCTTGGTGGATTATAAGCATATGATATCAATCAAAAGTGTAATATGACCGGCAAGAAAGCTAATGAAATTGGTTTTATGCCTTAGAGGTTTGTGACATACTCCTTAAACACTGGAAACTCAAATGAATGGTATTATGGCTGAAAATGCTAGAGTGAACTGCAGCAATAGATTTCTTATTGCTGGCTCCTGCCAATGAGTCCACTTCTTCTGTCCCACAGATAATGAGCTAGACCTAGCCAGATTCAGTTGTACTTCTCCATCAATAGGGCACTGAATGAAAAAAACACTGGGTATATGAGCTTAATGATGCATGAGGTCTTGAATGTTTCCAAGCAATCATGAAGCACCCATTGATGATGAATCTATGATTCTTCATCTAATGACTGACCTTTCTGGGTGGTGAAAGGAAAAATCTTTGGGGAAATGTGTCATGTTGCCTATATTTTTTAATTTGTAGGTGGTATGGCCATAGAAGGCTAAGCAAGCTAAATTGTTTCTTTCCTTAAATTCCTAAGATTGCCTATATACTATGTGAAGGCTGCCAAATTCTTAGAAAAGCTAACATAACCCACAGATTCTTTTTTTAAATCTGTATTTTTTTGGGTACTTTTTATTTATTCCATTCCAATATTAGTCTTTTTTTCTCATGGGGAAGTAACTCCATCATGCCAATGTCATGTAATGAGATCTCAGGGCAATTCTGGATCTGCAACTATTTAGTTGTATGAACTTGGGCAAGTCACGGTAACCTGAGCTTTAGTTTCCTATTTGTCAGTTAACAAACATTTATTAAGTGTATACTTAGTGCTAAGTAAGCAATAAGGATACAAAGAAGGCAAAGATAGTCCCTGTTTTCAAGCAGTATATTTGAAGGCCATCCAAGCCAAAATCTGATCTTTATGAATGATCAGCTCAGAATAATGGTCATCAGCTCCATTTGGTCATTAAAATTATATTCATATACCATAATTTATTCAATTGTTCCCTGACTGTTGGGTAGTTTTCCCTTCCATATCCTACCATAAATACTTCTACAAGAAGCATTTTTGGGCAGATAATCCTTTTTTCTTCCCGCAACTGATAACTGAACCCATGATAATAGACAAGTAGGCTGGTGAAGGGAGAGAGTATGTATAGAGACAACAGAAGAGAAATCAGGACTCTGCCTTTGGAGTACCCATCCTTAAGGGATGGTAGATAGCTGCTGATACAGGAAAAGAAAAAAAAAGTAGTCAGAGAGATAGGAGAATAACAAGAGAAAACAATTTCAATGAAGCCAAGGAAAAGAGATTATATTATGGGTGGGGGGAGGGGTTTGAAAAAATATTGAATTGGGGAGTTGACTTCTTTGGTACCATTTGAGAAGGTTGGTGTTAGAAGTCAGACTGAAAGGGGTAGAAAAGTGAGTGATATGATTTATCATACTGATTTTCAAAATATCTGTGTTGTCCTGGAATAAATTCTATTTGACTAATTATTTGGTGGATAGTGCTAATCTGTATGCTGCCGGTTTTTTTTTTTGGGGGGAGCGGCTAGGCAATAGGGTTAAGTGGCTTGCCCAAAGTCACAGAGCTAGTAAGTGTTAAATATCTGAGGCCGGATTTGAACTCAGGTCCTCCTGACTCCAGGGTCAGTGCTCTATCCACTGCTCCACCTAGCTGACCCTACTGGTATTTTACTTAACATTTTTACACTGATACTCACAGGATCATAGGATCATTGATATTAAGCTAGAAGCAACCTTAGAGGTCAACTGGTTATCCACTTCATTTTACGGAGGAAGAAACTAAGGCTTATATTAGTGAAATAATTTGCCCAAAGTTGCACAGACAGTAAGTAGTAGAGTAAGGTTCTGAAACTAATTCCTCTGACTCCAAATCCAATCCATAACACTGCCTATTCTTTAATGATATTACTATATATTTTTCATTTTCTGTCATATCTCTTCCAGGCTTAGGGATAAGAACCATATTGGTTTTATGTTAAGATGAAATAAAATGCTAACCCTCTTTGCATTTGTGTATATGGCTTATCTTAACATTATAAAAATTGGTTCTTTGATTGCTTTATGGAATTAATTTAGGAATCCATTTCATCCTGGTGCCTTTCATATGGAAATTAATTATCATTATTTAACATCTCCTTCTGATATTTGTTTATAGAGGCTATCTCCTATTTTGCCAACTTATATATCCAATATATTGGTAATATTCATTTGTTCTGTGAGACTTCATCCCTATATGTCATATGTCCTTTGAGAAGAGAATGGGGAGGTTATGTGGTTGTGGTTTGTCTTTTGTTCTTGAAGAGGACCATAACGTTAGGGAGATGATAACATGACTTGCAATTGACTTTGATTTGAGTGAGTGAGGACTGTGCAAAGTCACCAGTCTCACTTTCTTCTCCAGAGCTATCTGGGTCCAGTGGCCAGATATCAATCAGGACGACTGGAAATGGCCCAGGATGCTGTAGGAGACCTTGGCCTTTTTAAGCTAAGGTCTTTGCTGGTTCTCACCTTGAGTGAGGTAACACCCATTCAGTGAATAGGCCTCTTCAAGAAGTGAGTCAAGGCCATCGAACAGGAGAAGGACAGAGTTAGGAAGCTTAAAAGGTGAAGAAGGGTAGATAGCCTGGCAATCAACAAACTGGGTAGTGGGGAGCCAACAGTTTACTCTGGATTTCAATTTCAGCCAGACCGATGCAACTGTGTGTAGTGTTAAGTGGGATAAATTCACTTTTTTTTTTTCCAGTGTTACCAAGCAAAGAAGAGAATGGCTTGAATTCATGAAAGCATCCTTTTTTTTCTATGCTATTGACCAGAATTTCTCAAGTCTTTACATGATCCACATGAGGAAGACAACTTCAGGTTTGGCTTTTTTTTCCCCCCAGAGAAATGTGATTTTACATAAATGTGATGTAACATATAGCAGGCAAGTAGAGCTCCAAGCTTTTGCAATTACAGACCCCCAGGAGAATGGGAGACTTGGGTTTCCAAGCTCACTGATTCACATGGGAAGTTGAAATTTGGGGAGTTATGACTTGAGGCACCACTACCCATATGACCTTTGTCTGTGACTTACTTTCCTTGGAAGGAAAAGTATTCTTCTCTTCTGTGCTGGTCTTTTTCAGCTTTTTCTTGTCAAATTTTTCCACTTCAGAGAGGTCTGGTTTGTCACACATTTTGGCTAGGAAGAATAAGAAATCTTTCATTCTTACCTGGTACAAAGCAGTGGGCTATTCCAGGGTAGGCATTTTCAAGGATTCCTTAAACAAAGTAGCCAATTCTCCAAGAGAAAAGGGATGCAGAAGCAGAGATTGTAGCTGTTAGACAAAGCGTTAGTCCTTACCCATGTTGGTTCTTGTTGGCAATTTTGAACCAAAAGTAAAGAAGTGGTTAAAGAAACCAAAACTCCAAGAAGAGACAGTATTCTTTCAATCACTATGCTTCCTACAGATTTTTTGGGAGAAGGGGCTCATGCTTTACAAGCTGCTGAGCTAGACTCTCTCTTTCAAGTTTGACATGCCCCTTTAATTAAAAAAACAAAGAAATGAAAGCCAAACTCTGACAGTTGCTGGCCAAAAGAGCAATAATTCCTGTTTACATTCACTTTGAGTCAGGAGGGCCCCCAAAATAAGCAGTAAGTAGTGCTTGGGCAGGAACCTATTGTTATCCAATCCAGAAGATACAGAGTGAATTGGGTTCAAGACTTGGTCTATGAGAAAGAAATCTAGCCAATAAACTGCAAGTTAACTGGGGAGCTTTTGGCCAACAAAATTTTATCTACCTTCCTTTGGGCAGAACACCTTCAGGGAAGAGGAGAGGACAGGACTAGAGAGGAGAGGATGACTTGAGCTGTCCAACTGGATCTGGCCAGCTGGGTCCCCATTCAGGCAGCTCAGAGGACAGCTTATAGGTTGAGGTGGGCCCTGGCCATTGGACCCAGATGACTCTGGAGGAGAAAGTGAGGCTGGTGACTTTGCATAGTCCCCCCTCACTCAAATCAAAGTCAATTGCAAGTCATATCATCAGCTCCCTGATGTCATGGTACTCTTTGAGAATGAAGGACAAGTCACAAACTGTTTGTAGTCTGAGCTGCCTGAAGTGAGACCCAGATGGACAGATCTAGTTGGGCAACTCAGCTCTTCCTCTCTTCTCCTCTCTGCTCTTCTTCTCTCCTCTTCTCTCCTCTAAGGGTGTTGTGCCCAAAGGAAAGTAAAATTTTGTTGGCCAAGTGGGGAGATACTGTACATGGATAGTGCCAACTAGTGTTGATAGAGTTCTCTTCTGTACAGAAAGCAAAAATCTGCTTCCCTCTGAGAGACAAGTATAATTAGTGTAATCCTTTTCCCACAGGACAAAACCATGTGTATGTGATGACCAAGTAAAACACTCCCAGTTACTTCAACTAACATTTTTATGCTATGGTTGCAAGTCCACTAAATCATCCATTTATAATGATTGAATAATCAGTCTTGTCAATGTCCTTCCTAAAACCTGTTACCTGGAACTGAATGCTTACTCTACATATCTGCCTAGTAAATAGCACAAGGAGACTATAAATAGCCTTCTTTGTTCTGGGCAGGTTTATTTTGTTTGTTTTAAAGCTGCCATTGTTTTCTCTTATTGAGAGTTCAGGCCACTGGGACCCAAAGATATTTTTTACATGAATTTCTTTTTTTTAGGCAATTGGGGTTAAGTGACTTGCCCAGGGTCACACAGCTAGTGAGTGTTATGTATCTGAGGCCGGATTTGAACTCAGGTCCTCCTGACTTCAGGGCCAGTGCTCTATCTACTGTGCTACCTGGATGCCCCCTACATGAAATATTTTCAAATGATGTGTTTGTGCAGTTAATTTCTTGATTCTCAAATGCAGAATTTTTATAATTTTTCTTTTTAAATTTCATCTTATTGAAAATGGATCTATCTTTTCATTTTGTCAAAATCTTTTTGGATCTCCTTTCTGTCACCCTGAGTATTACTTATCCCTCTAAGCACTTAGGATAAGTGCCCAGAACATTTAAAACCACCCAAATTCATAATATCGTTCTCACACATACTCTCATTACAAATGATTCATACATTAAGAGGTAGTGGGCGCAAAGCAGCTACCATGCTAACTATCATACGCATGAACTTCGTAAATGTTATCTGTCATCTGTAAATTTGCATCCAAATCATTGGAGCCTTGTCATGTAAATGTGTGTGTGTGTGTGTGTGTGTGTGTGTGTGTGTGTGTGTGTTTTCATTATTGGTCATATAGAATGGTGTAGTAGGTGGGAAGATATCCATCACTTTGAATTCTGACACTATGATTAAGTTGTTTTTCCATCATGATAGCTGTCTAAATTAAAGACATAAACCTTTTTTTGCCTTTATCACATGGAGAAAAACATTATGTGACTTGAAAACAGGTGATAGCAATTGTAGCTCAAAATTTTTGTACTTACATGAAGAAGTACTATATGAAGAATACTGCTCAAAAGAATGAGTTAGTCTTTATTTTTCTTCATTAACTTGGGAACTAAGTATGTAGATACTTCAAGAAAGTTCACTTTTTCACTGAGGTCCTCTCAATTTAATAAAAATGGATGGAGCTTTTACCATCTGAAGGGCACTCTTCTAGGTGGTACAAAGAGTACAAGGATGAACCAAACATTGTCCTTGCCATCAAAAAAGGTGTAATCGAGCAGGGCAGCTTAGATACGTACACAGATACTACACTATATGGCAGAATAGTCTGTGAGAAAGGAGATAAAAGATACTAGAATAAGGAACAGAGAGAACAGAAGAATGAGAAAACTTAGTTTGAGGAGGCACTATTGTGGGTACAGAGCAAACTTCATAAAGAGGTATATGCTTTGACTCTTAATGGTTGGAGGGTCATTTCTATTATCACAGAAGAGATCAATTGCATTTTACAGAATTCCAAAAGCACAGAATAAGAGAAAGTGCAGGGTGTTTATGGATAACAGAATGATGCAATCCAAATGGCATATAGAGTATATTTAGGAGAGCAGCAGGAATTATGCCTGGGAAGATAAATTTTGCGGGGTATTTTGTACTTAATTTGGTGGTCACCACATAGTCTTGAAATTCTTTTCATTAGGGGTTAGCAGAATAACCAGAGTTATGCTTTAGGGGAAGTGATCAGCCATGTGCTAGATTTAGAGCTGGAAGAACTCAGAGGTAATGTAGTCCTACTCTGATTATACAGAAAAGGAAACTGAGGTCCAGAGAGATTAAATGTCCAGAGGAAAACCATGATTTGAAGCCAGGTCTTCTGACTATAGATGCAGTGTTATTTTAAATATAACTACATGAGAAATTGAAACAGGGGTCCATTTAGAATATCATTGTAGTAGCCTCAGGAGAGGTAATGATGGACTGCATTCAGAGGGTGACAGCGAGAATGGAAAGGAGGGGATTGATTCCAAATATCGTAGAAGCAGAATTAAAAGGACTTGGCAAGGAGTTTATGTCAGCAGTGGAAAGGGAGGTGTTAAAGATAACTCCTAGCTTAGGAAAGGATTACTCAACTGGCCATATTTTCTGGTGAGGAATTTCATCTTTATCCTACAGGGAGAAATTGTCTTTAATTTGTACCTGCCACTGGCTTTCCCTTTCCTATCAACCCATGACTGTTTTTTGTACATCCTGACAGCTTTTTCAATTTAACCTAGCATTTATTAAGTGCTTACTTAGTGCCAGATACTTTCCAACATGCAAGGGATAGAGACAAAAACAAAATAATATCTGACTTTCAGGAGCTTATATTCTATCGTAGGAAAAACATGCACATAGAGAGGCTAAAACAAAAAATATACAAAGTACTCAGCACTAGATGTCTTAGTACTTAAGTTTGTGCAGCAACCTCTTGGTCCCTGTAAGGGCACCAAAGAGAGGGGAATGAATAAAAATGGATTGGCAACTGGCCCAGGAAGTGACTATTGAATAGACTTTAATGGAAAAGACAAGGTCTACTCTCACTCTTTTCTTCTTCTCTCTAAAATATATGCCATGATACTTAGCTTTCCAAGAGTTGTGGAGAGAAGGGACTCTTCTCATCCACCTAGAGGTGATACCTACTGCTTACTCATGGCAGTACCCACATAGGCTACCTAGATGAGCCTGACCTTGGGTTTTGGGTCTCTGCTGATGCTTCTCCTTGTGTGTCTTTTTCTGAGCTCAGATGACTGAATATCAATCCTAAGAAAAGTGTTTCCAGCCTTGACAGTGACCCATAAGTCTGAGAGAGTGGGAGCTTGTGAATCTCTGAGTTGGAGTTGACTGGCAGCTGAAGAAAGTTTCAGCAGCCACATCCTTCTCCATGAAGGGTTATAAGAACAAGTCTTTACCTGGCTGACCAGAAGATGTGGACTTCAAGGTGTTTGTTCAGACAACACAGAGCTAAGGTGAAGGTGAAATGCCTGTTTAGTAGTCCCATTAAGGGCTCTATATTGTAAGTATCAATCTTAGCAACTACAATAGAAATTAGGGGGAATGGCACAGTTACTTAAGTCTTTGTCAATAAATCTTTTATACCTTAAGTATTTCTTTTGGATGGAAGAAATGAATAGCTATCCTATAACTGAGCTGCATTGACTCTAAATAAGAGCTACACCTAAACATTAAGTGATTTTTCTCCAGGGCTCCAGGGTGGGAGAATAAAGAGCTGGTTATGTGAGAAAAGAATTTTGAGCCTTGTTAGAGAAGATTTCCCTGGAATAAAGATAGTGGAGCAATAGGAAGACGTGTAATTCAGGTCCATCATAACATCTTTTCCACAAAGATCTAGAAAATGCACCAGACTGAATCTTGTTTAAAAAACCTAAGAAAAAAATCACAATAAATCATTTTTCCAGCCCATGGACAGACAGAGGTCTGCAGACACTAGGGAAAGGGTCTGGCCAGGGCCTCACTGTGGGGAGCATCTCAGCACTCAAAGACTCAAAGAAGACCCAGGCTAAACCCTGGGGCAGAGAGCACAGAGGACTGAATCACAGGCAGCTGGGCAGCTGTGGTAGTTTCCAGACTTCTCAACCCACAAACACCAAAGATGACTTAGAAAGTCAGTAGGAAAAGTCTGTTTCCACAATGAGAGAGAAGCTTGGTCACTGTGCAACCCTGGGGCAGCGGCTGCTTCCAGAGCTTCTGGCCCATAGACTGAGGGAGAATTGGGTGGCTGATCAGAGGGGGCTTTCAGGGATCTCTTTGCTGGTGCTGAGGCAGGATTCTCTTACTTTGCCTGTGCTTGGATCTGGGTTACCATT